TTATTTGAATAACACGACCATGATTTGTTTTGGCAATAAAAAAATTATCTCGGAACTAAAGAAAAATAAATGCATCAATAAAATAAATAAAACCGACTCACAAAAGAATGCTTCTATGATTTTAACATCTGCTAGAAAATTCAGCAGTACTGGAATCAAACACTGGATCATGACGGTCAGGGCATGAACAAGACTTTCACAGCGGGGAACACCACATGTACAGGATGAACACAGCCATGATACCAGAAACACAAACAAGGACAAATGAATTTCAAATGATGCTGAGTAAGACAAACACAAATCCTTTTTAACACACAGTCATCCTGTTATATGGCCATGATGGCAAACTCCTTTATTCAGAAAATGTGCCCATTTTTATGGAGCCTAAAACTCCTATGGTTGGCTAGCAAAGAAATCATTTGCATAGCTAATACCACGCAGCTCACTGTCCTGACTATCATGAGGAAGCTGATAGACACTTTCTTCATAACCAGACGTTCAGGGATTTGCACCAGCTCTGTTCTGGCAGAGCAGTCATGTGCTTTCTTTCTACAGAGACAGCAAACTAAACATTGTCTATGCAACCAATGTGGGCTGGTGATATTATCAATAGCTGTTGGCTGCTCCATCTGCATTTCATTTCCGCTACAACCTCTTCAAGTCTATGCTTAACTTATATATCCTACATATTTTCATAATATGCACTTACTGCCTCATTTTATGCCCTTAAAACAATCTTATTTACTATAGCTTTATCTTGTGTGACTCTTGGGTCTGAACAATAGTATAAATAAATACATTAATTTGTTGAAGATTTAATAGACAATGAAAGTTTACCACCTTCATCAGCTTCTCTGATTGGCTGTACACTATCTGTCTCATGTTCAGGTATTTTTAATCCTAAGACTATCTACTTGAGAGAGATTAAAGTCTGTTAACCGAGTGCTTCATATGATATTGTCTAAACAATGTAGGTCAGGTTCACAACTTGACATACGTGGCTGCAATTTGCTAATCTGTCTAAAATGCAGGTAACACTCCTTTGCACAGAAGGGAAGTTTTGGCAATTGGGAGAGTGAAAAGAGAAAATAGTTTGAAGTCTAAAGCTTAACCTGTGGCAGATTAGCAGTTGTTCTTAAAATCTTTTACTTTACCACAATATTGCCTTCTGCATTACTCAAACTGTTGGCAGTTTTTTTTTAACAGATGTAATTATATAATGCTATAAAAAAACGAAATATTCATTTTAAAAGAGAGGAAAACAGACAAAACAGAAAAGAAAAATACAATCTTCACATCATGAAGGAAAAAGGCTAAGATTAACATGTGTATTGCGGCAGGTGTCAGAAATAGGCAGAAAGACCCGACTGAAGCATATTTATGCTAATATGAAAATTAATTCATTACAGTTTTGTTTATTTGGTCTTACGGCATATCAACCTCAGTGGGTTATTTATTGCCAACAATATTTTAGTATAAGTTCGTATAAATAGAATATGTATTCTTTGTAAAAAATCACTTTATAGATCAGTTCATTGATGTATTTTTGTAAAGAGCACTGTTGTTGAGAGTCAAATGTATTGCTGGTAATTCTTACTATAAAAACCCATTTTTGTACTTTCATAATGTTTTGACCCAGTTTTGGAAGTGGGTAACTATTTGCCCATAGCTGGGACCCTAACAGGTACTACCCCAGAAAGAAAATATTAAGAAAGGAATAAAAAAAACTTAGAAAAATCTGAGTGATTCTTGTTCCTCTCTCATCAGCATTCAATTGAGAAAATGTAAAATAGCTATGCCCCATGACTAACAAAAAATGGGGTGATTTTAAATTTACAAATCATTTTCTCTTCTCAAACAATTTTAAAATCTGTCCATAAATATGACTTACCTATCAAATTGGTTCTGCTATCAATGTATGTGTCATATAATGGATAGGACCACTCAATTACTGGAGAAAAGATTGATTTGTTTTTTTTTTACAGCTTATCAACCTTTTTTGGGTAAAGTTGAAACATTTCAGACATGAAAAGCTTGCTTATAGTACCTGATAATTCTAAACAGTTCCCCATCTATGCATTAACCAGATTTGACAGTACTTAACTTTGGTGATTGAATGAGAATAGTTTATGATTGTAAGCTATTGGAGAAGAGAATTTCTTAACATTGCACCAAGATACATTCATGAAGGTGAACTTCAAAATTGCATAAGTGTTCCAGAACATTCGGGTCTGCAATTTCTGATCATCTCATTAATAATCTTCAATACATTTTGGCTTGTCACAAAGGTATATCTTCTGTGTTAAGCCACTTGAATTCAGATTTCAATCTGAAAGTCCTTGAGACAAGTTTTACAAAATCTAAACAATCTTCTTTATGTAAACATAATGATTGCTGGGAACCAATTTGATTAACTTGTAATATAAATATACATGCTAATATATTATTAATCTATGTGCATTTCATATCTTTAAAAATCATCAATTACCTGGAATCAAAATCACTATCAATAAAATGGATGTGTGAGAGAAGAGATTATTAAAATAGGACTTATGGTAACCTTTAAGAATTTCAACAGTAAAATGATGTGACCAAAATGCCAATTTAGTACTATGTTTAAATTCAAGATGTCAAGGTACCAATGAGGAAAGCTCATCCGAACAGTTGCAGATGCCAGATAAGGATAGATAATATTGCAGATTCTTCTTTGGGTTTTGCCCAGAATCTCAAGATACATGATAGTAGCACCAAACTTGATGTGGCAACAATATTCATTGCTCAAATGAGTGTCAGACTTATAAAAGTGCAAAAGAGATTCAGGTGATAATAAGGGTCTAGCAAAATATAAGGTACCAAGGAATAGTTTTGCAACTTTTCATCCTGATGCATCATCATTTAAAGTGATATCACATTTACTTTTTTTCTATTCTTTTAATTATTTCACCATAAGAATAAGGTGATAATCTCACTATTACTGAGAGTGAAAGGCAATAATGAAGGAGGAAACTGTCTATTCACTTCTTCAGTAAAAGTGACAACACATAATCTCAATCATTTATTCATTAATCAAATCAATTTTTTCTACAAATATTGTTCTCACCTTGGCAAAGGTTGAAAACTCAAAATGTAATAATGAAATAATATCAATATCTTTCTGCATTATTGTATAATACTCTATAACATCGGGGGGATGGGGGGCAGGGCGTCTCAAGCAGGGCAGGGGGCATATCAGGATTTCTTTTACTTTTCCACAAGTTTCTCATTGACTAATCTCCATCAGAATAAAATCAATTGAAATACCCCGACCTTTTAGTGAATATTGTGTTTATTGAATTACAAATATCCTGGTATTTTTGGAAATTTTGTTTACTGATGTATACTTCAGTTTTATTTAATTAATAATTAGATATGAATTAAAACAAATTACTGTGAATCTAGTTTAAAAATCCGTCAACATTTTCTATTGCACCTCTATAAAAATCATCTATAAAAATGTATATTTACTGATATGGAAAAAGAATGAAGATTTTCAAAGAGAAAGGACAATAAAAAGAACTGGATTTAAGGAGACAAAAGATTTTTTTAATCATTTCACCCCAAACAAGGTTATAAAGCCACTAAGATGCAAGGGTGTTGCCAAGAGTGAACTAAACTGAGAAAACATTACTGGGTAGAAAAGACAATCTAAAGAATGTGAGTCAAGGTTACAAAAAATGGGGATTGACAATTCATTTAAATTTTTGTAGATTGTAGCAGTCAGGAAAGCAGAAATTTTTTTTAATCATTTCACTCCAAGCAAGGTGATGAAGCCACTATGACACAAGGGGGTTACCAAGGAGGAAGGACAATAAAAAGATTTTGTAGATAGTAACTGACAGGAAGCTGGAAAAGTGTTCCACAGACAAGAAGTTTGAGAAAAGGAACTTGTGACTCAATAGCATATTGAGAATTGATCTAAATTTTTGTTTAATGAAAACATTACATTTTATTGTGAAATGTTTATCTCTATGCAGTTGGAGACATGTCAACGGATGGTCGTTTTGACAGTGTCTTTTTCTTCTTTTTCTTATTGTAACCCATGTAATAATCTTCTATCTAATTGGCATTTAAGAAAATGTTGCTTCTCAAGCACACAATTTGTTTATCAGCCATATAAACACCACCTTGAAAAGCAACCTGCCACTTACCTGGTCAAAATGTAAATCAAGGAACACTAATGGTATGACACTGGCATTTATGACACTTTCATTGACTGGGTCCTTGTCCATTACACCTCTATTTATCTCACATTGGCTGCAATATGATACTAAATTTTAAAGATCCTTATAATTAAGATAGAAAAAAAAAGATTTCAGCCAAGGCACTAAAATTTTGAATGTCATTAATAACATATTCGCCTTATAAGTTTCTATATATACCATGACAAATGTAAGCATCATTATAATAATAATAATAATTATATATATATATATATATATATATATATATATATATATATATATTGCCTCTCTATGTCTTTTCTATAAATACTGTCATTATAATTGTTCAGATGAGCTGTTAACTATGATACCTACACTACTAAACTGGCATCGAAATCACATCAATCTAGAGTTGAGCTGGCTAGATGCAACCGTAAATTCTATGCTAATGGTTTCTTTTCTCAAACTTCTTGCTTGTGGAACTCCCTTCTGTCTCAAAGTTTTTCAGCCAACTTTAATCTCCAAAAATTTAAATGCAATGTCAATTGCTATCTACTGTGCTGATTACTCTTTCCTCTTCCCACACATTATTAATGTTTCTGTTCCTAATTCTTCCACACCCTGTAACCCCTTGTATTACTGGCTTTACTGCATTGCTTAGGGTTGATACAGATTAAAAAAAAAGTTATGTATATATATATATATATATATATATATATATATATATATATGTATGTATGTGTGTGTGTGTGTGTGTGTGTGTGTGTGTGTGTGTGTGTGTGTGTGTAGAAGAATTCTAACCTTGCTCTGTCAGCTTGTCTCCGTGGCTGAATGGGTAGAGGCACACTTTGGCTCAGAAAGATGTTTCCCTGATGGAAGAAAGAGATGCAATTTCAATTCCTGTTGGTAGCACAGTTTTTCTTTAGGACTTCTCAATTTAGACTGGTTGTCATTAATTTCACTGTTTAATAAAAATAAAAAAAGTCAGAGATAGCAAGTCAAGCATATGTACCCACTAAAAATCACATTTATAAAACTAAGAAACAATATGATATATAAATTTTTATATATCAAGAAAATGTTAGGTAATTGAATGACAAAATAAGATGTTACTGATAGAATTAGATATATATGTGTGTGTATATATGCATGTATGTAGGGAGAGGGGGAGATATAAATAGAAACATCGGTTATAATTATATACTGAGGAGAAACACTGAAGAAGTAGAAATGGTAAATTTAAAAATGTCCAACATGTCTAAGCGCAGAGCTCAGCTGGAGAAATAATGTCTCAATTGTCCTCTTCCAACTCCTTGAATCTTATTTTGTTGTCCTCAGTAACTTTTTCTCAATATCCCCTTGCATCTTAGTGTCTTTATTGCCTTGATTAGAGTGAAATAATTTAAAATATCAAAAAAACAAAACAATATATATATATATATATATATATATATAAATATAAAAGTGAACATAGAAGTCAACACTAGAGCGACAGAGGTTTCATGCTATATGCAATCGTGGCCTGACAATTGCATATAGCATGAAACAGACTGTTGCCTATAAGTGTTGACTTTATGTTCACTTTTATATTTACAATAACGCCTATCTCTGATATTGAGCACTTTATCCCATAAATATAGCACACCTTAAGATTATATTTCTTCATATATATATATATATATATATATATATATATATATATAATATATATATATATATACAGCCCTCAGTATTAATAATATTAAAATTGAGCATGAATAATATTTGAAAAGATTACTTAACTTTTAAATATCAATTTTATCCCAGCTTCGAAGTTTTGGTTCTGATTTTAAATATTTCCAATTATTTTCCATTCATTCTTTTTCAATCTGCTTTTTTACTCAGTTTTGTACATGTGCATAATCACAAATTTAACGTTCAAAAAATAAAAAACATATAATTTTAATTTCAAAGAAAAATTTACAAGTGGAAGAAAAATCTACAGCTGAAAAAATGAAAGGCATAAACAAAAGCAAAATTTCATGGATGTGTGCATGTATAAAAGAACATTAAATTCACACATGTACAAAATGAGAGTAAAAAAGCAGATTGAAAAAGACGCGGAACAAAAATTTAAATATTGTTTAAAACTAGAACCCCCTGAAGACTGGAAATTTTACCAAGAAACTTCGAAGTTGAGATAAAATTGATATTTAAAAGTTAAGTAATCTTTTCATATAATATGTGTGTATGTGAATTTTGATGACAAGAGTGCACAGACAGAGATAAGAACAGTGTGGGTATGTCAATGAAACTGGAATGAGAAACTTGATATTCATACTCAGAATGTTATCAGAAAGAGCAATTTAAATGCAGAAGGACATGTACCTATGTGTTATAGATTACACAAAGGCGGTCAATAAAGTACACCTCAAAGATCTGTTGTAACTGCTCAGCAACCTGGACATATTTAGGAAGGATATTAAAATAATCAAGAACCTATACTAGCAGCAAACCACCTACATATGGACAGAAAATGAATTCAGCAGATATACAGAAATAGAAATGGATGTAAGACAAAGATCTGTCTTCTAATTGGACTTATTCAATCTATACAGCAAAGGTGATTCTGAGAGAATTCAAAATCCTATCAGGATTCATTATCAATGACTACAATCTTAACAACATAAAATATACAGATAACACAGTGTTGATAGCAGACATGGAAAGAAAACTACAAAAACTCCTACACAAGGTAGTAAAGGAAAGTGAAAAGTAATGATTAAACATCAACTGCAAGACAAGAATGCATGGTTATTAGCAAAAGGCTAATCCCAAAATGCAAATTACAAATCAAAGATAACAAAATCAAACAAGTGCAAAATTGATCTAACAGAGGATGAAAAGTGCAATACTGAAATCCAAAGACACATTGGAATGGCCATAGATGCATTCCAAAAGCTAAGCAGAGTATTACAAGACAGAAAAACTTATTTAGTTTGCTTACCTACAAATACCCTTGGGAAAGTTATGAATCTAACTTTTCTCCCTCCAGCTATAAATAAATAGCAGAATAGACTGGGTCATACAGCCTTGGCTGGAAACCACTCTGAATTCAAAACCTCTGGATGTTTGTTTGGAGACCTTTTAAGCACACTATGTGCACCAGTTCTCTGTATTTGGTTCTTCCAAAGAGTTGTGGATTCTAGAAGCCTTCAAATCATATGTGTGAGCAGTCTGGTTGTTCGGTTCTAAGACCTGAGCTGCTGAACTCTGATATGTTGAAAATGATGGGAAAAACCTGTATATAACATTTCTATAACTTTAGATACATACATAAAACAATCCATACATTCAGTTGAAAGTAAAAATAAAATTCATCCTTGATAATGGCTAAAAGTATAGCCAAAAGTGCTCAGATATATAGAACATTTGGACAGTTTTTACACACTGTATGTCCAGAAAAGAAATCACATCTACAAAAACAAGAAAAAATGAATAAACAGCTTAATCGCAATACCTTGTCAGTCATTCTTAATGAAACTTGCATAAAAGAGGGATTGTTGCCCAAATACACAATATATATACATGCATACATTTTATTTTAACATACTTAAACTATTGAACATCATAAACAACTGACCTTGATGGTAGCTGGTTGGCCAGCAGAAAGCAATCAATTTCAAAAATATGATCAATTCTTGTATTTGCTATGCCAATAAACATCACGCAGAACTTAGAAAACATGAAAGATTATTTAACAGTTAAAATAAAATGAAACAGATTTTTCAGACACTTTGACCCAAGTTTATTGATGAGTTAACTAAATACCAAAGATATAAACAGTGTCAACCTAGAAATCAACACTGTACATACACACACACACACACACACACACATATATATATATATATATATATATATATATATATACTAAGGTTAACTTCAAAGTTAATTGATTTGCTAAGCAAATTCCAAGTCAATGTAGGTTATTTGCAAATGCATGTGAAGGAGGGTTGTCATTTCAAACCATTTCATAAAATTTTTAGTTATATGACGGAATATTTCAGATACAGTTAAATCCAGTCAATTGATTCAAATGCTTATAAAATCTGCCAAATTCAAAACAACAAATACTAAACATTTGGAGATAATGTTTTTTCCAGTTACAAGTATTACTATTTATCCCATAGATTATTACCTTTCCCAAGGGCATAAACTAAGGTTAGTTTCAAAGTTAATGCATTTGCTAAGCAAAAAATTGCAAGCCAATAGAGGTTAGTAATTATATATATTATATTACTTATTAAAACAGGATCATGATCAATAAATTGAATGACAATGGAAAAATGTTCACTGAGGAGAAATTTCAATAAAATTAAATAATGCCTAAAGGTTAAATCCATTTAGGCAGGAAGGGAAACAAGCCTGTTACTGCTACTGCTTAGAACACATCCATTAAGCTGAGAAGTGGGAATCTAATTTCTTAGCCAAGGATGGTGAGTTCAATTCTAGGTAGGACTGCAAGCGTCAGCATAGTTAACATTACTTTTATGCAATAATTACATATTTTCAGTTAAAATGTTTTGGTATTAGTATTTATTTATTTATGTACAACTAAACTGAAGGTAATTTGTCTTATTTTTACTTTCAGATTTTGCTTACCTAAAGTTATATTTATCAACTTTGCCGCTTCAACTTCACTTCATTTTTATCAATTAATAGATTCAGTGTTAGTTCTGTCAAAAAAAGCAATATAAATTATTTTATTGCATGTTAAGTAATGACTTCATAATCCTCAAGTATTTTAGACTTAAATCCTGATCTATATTTTCATTTTTCTTTCTACCATCTTTCTTCAAAATTAACGATCTTTTGTATACTATGTTTGTTTATTTATATACAACTATTTCATAATTTGTCTTGCTTTCTAGTGTTTTTGTTTACCTAACATTTTTTGGTGGAGCTTCTAAAACATGTAGTGTATATGATGTTTATATACATACATTATATATGTTCCAAAGATTGACATAGCTAGGGATCATAGTGGGGACAAGCTCCCACTGTTTATAAAATGCTTCTGTGGCATGTGTCTCAAATAGCTTCTGGCAACTATCCTGTTCCAAGCCAGAGAATGGGCGAAGGCAGACAACTGGCACATCATAAACAGCTGCTGTGGGTAGATGGAGTTTAACAACCCAGGAAGGCAATTCATCTAGGGGAAAAAAAAAACCCTGATTTTAAAACAACTTTCCAGCTATGCTTGCACCCAAGCCAGCTCTAAATATAATGCCCTGTATTCCACTCAATTTTATCAGTACGTGCAAGAGGTGGGAGGGCATGTTGTTTGGGAAGCACATGGCTTTCATATACCATCATCTAGAACCTGAAGAGGCCACTCCAGCCTCACTACAAAAGGGATAAATTTTGACCAAACAGAGCACTACCTTTATTTCATGAGATAAACAGTTTAAGTTGTTTGAAGGTCATGTGAATGTGAATCTTGGGTTATGACTAGGGCCATCCTTTCATAGGAATTAACATTGTAAAGCGTTTTTGCTCTATCTTTACTAAGAAGGTAGGTTTGCTTTAGGCCTTTTTTCTTTTATCCTGATTGGTGTTCTTTTTCCAAACTATCAGGATAGGGGTATTTAGATCTGTTGGCAAATTGTCCATTGGTTCCACCAATGGTTTGGGGTTTTCTTTAATAAATATATATAAATACACACACACGTATAAATTTTTTATAGGTAACCCTTTTCACACGCACTTTCTGATATGCTTTCAATTTGGGATGCAGCCTGAAAAATGTAGTACAATCTTGTCATATTGCTTATGGCTGAGCTTTGTGAATAAACTTTCATTCTTTCTTTACATTGTGTTTGAAGTAACAAATCAAACAGATTTTTCTTTTGTATATTCGACTTACTTTGAGCAAAAGAAGTGAACAATGAAGTATATTAAGAAAGCAGTAAAATTCATTGTGTGTGTGTGTATGTATATATATATATATATATATATATATATATATATGAAACATTTATTTACTCATGTCTGTTGCACTTGAATGCATTTTATGAGATGAAATTTAAAAAAAAAAAGAAAAAGAGAGCTATCCTTGCAGATAATGAATATTTGATTAACAAACTATAATTGACTTTAAAATGTTTATTCACTTCTTCAGTAAAAGTGACAACACATAATCTCAATCATTTATTCATTAATCAAATCAATTTTTTCTACAAATATTGTTCTCACCTTGGCACAGGTTGAACTCAAAATGTAATAATGAAATAATATCAATATCTTTCTGCATTATTGTATAATACTCTATAACATTGGGGGGGGTCTCAAGCAGGGCAGGGGGGCATATCAGGATTTCTTTTACTTTTCCACAAGTTTCTTATTGACTAATCTCCATCAGAATAAAATCGATTGAAATACCCCAACCTTTTAGTGAATATTGTGTTTATTGAATTACAAATATCCTGGTATTTTTGGAAATTTTGTTTACTGATGTATACTTCAGTTTTATTTAATTAATAATTAGATATGAATTAAAACAAATTACTGTGAATCTAGTTTAAAAATCCGTCAACATTTTCTATTGTACTTCTATAAAAATCATCTATGAAAATGTATATTTACTGATATGGAAAAAGAATGAAGATTTTCAATAATATATGCATATTATTTGGAAGGCAATTTTTGAATTAGACAATTTTGGAAAGAAGTGAAATGATATTCTGACTTATCGTGAAAAGGGTTGCATTAGGCAAAAAAGGTAAAGAACCACTGTTCTATGTGGTACATCTTTTTCATCATGGACATTGAAAAAAAAAAAAAGAGAAAAGCCTACAGTTGCAGAATAACTAGAAATTTGTAAAGCTTTAGTCCACCCCGATAACTGTAATGGAGAGCTGCAAGTTAGATAAATCAAGAATGGCAGTGCAACTTATTTTGTTACATTCACCTGAAAAAGTTGAGGTTTCTTGATAATTGTTGTTAAAGACTGACTGAATTTTTTTTTTTTCACCTTAACATTTGCAGATTACTTGAGCCAGAAAATAGATTTAGATTGGAAGAAATTTTTTGGAGAGATAATAATGCTTTAGTCATACAAGTCTTACTAATTAACCCATAGTTGGGGGTTAAGAGAAGAAGAGGTAGATTCAAACCTTTTCCCAAGGGTATTTGTGTGTAAGTGACTATGATGAATTGTTTCCAGGCTATTATTCATTACACCCCACAGTATCTGGTATTCCCAAGTGGTCACCCATCTAGGTACTGACCAGGCTCAAAGTTGCTTAACTTTGCTGATCATATGAGAACTAGTGTTTCAACATGATACAGCTGTAAGTCCTACTGTTTACTAGAATCAATTTCTATGCAGGAACATTAATTCTTGCAAAAAATTGAATATCTTGTAAGAATAGCACAAGTTAATACTGTCACTGCTCCATTGTTGTAGCATTGTTGCTTGGTGGGGAAAGTATGATATTGTCATTTTATATATATATATATATGCATACTTTGTCTTTTTCAAACTAATAGTCAATCCCACTGCAGTGCTGCATATCTCAGTCATCAGCATATAGCAACAATTGAACCTTTGAATTTGCATCAAACCTCCTGATGTTAAACAGCCTTCCTGTTGAAAAAGACAGTAGTCATGTACCAACCAGCTCCAAGGAAGCCATATCATGAACCAAGCATCTTTGTTTATGGTAAAAGGTTGAAGGCTGTTTGCACATTTCTGTATCTTGGGAGCACATTGAGTATATTCTGTGATCTTGATGAGGAAATTTCAAACCACATATAAAAAGCTAGTGACACATTTGGAAAACTGAATAAACATCTGTGGAATTTCATGGAATTTCAGTGAGTACAGAACTAAAGGTCTATTGTGCATGTATGCTTACAGAACTTCTTTATGCTTGTGAGTTGTGGAAGGTTTACTGCAGACAAATGAAAAGGCTTAAGAGATTCCGCCAGTACTGCTTACGTCGTATACTTGGCATTATCTGGCAAATGTTTGTTAGTGACATGCTAGTGAGGAGTGGCTGTGATAGTATTGAGTCTTTGATACTAAAACATCAACTAAGGTGGGCAGGCCACTTTGTCAGAATGGATGACAGTCGTATTCCAAAGCAATTGTTTTATGGTAAGCTGTGAACAGGAAAGTGAAATGCTGTCAAACCTATGATGCACTTTAAGGACTGCATTCAAGAATGCGTTGAAGAAATGCAATATTCCTTGTGAGCACTGGGGAGAATGTGCATCTGATCACATTAATTGGAATGATGCTATATATATATATATATATATATATATATATATATATATATATATACTGGTGTATGGATCATTTATAACAAATTTAGTATGAGATAATGAAATTGAATATAGAATAAGTTGCCCTGGGAGTAGTTTTGCCCAATGCCACAAGATTTGAAAGATACCCTAAGCCCTGTGTATCCTTGTGAATGATACTTTTTCAATATTTGATTCCATAGAGGAGGCTAAGGCTTTACACATCTAATTTAATTTCATCCATGAGTCCTTCAGCTTACTATGGAGATGAAGAGTGACTTGGCATTATCCTTTTTAGATATGCTGCTTGAACAGAACAAGTGGTTGTTCATTACTAGCGTTTATTGCAAGCCTACATTTATGGGTCTATATACAAATTGAAATTCTTTTGTCCCTAAGTCCTAGAAACTAAATCTGATTTCCACTTTGGTCCATCGTGTGTTGATGCTATGAGCTCCTTGTAGGTTGGACAGGAAATAGTATTTTCCAGGACAAAGGTTACCTGGAGAATGTTGTTAAATGCACAATCAAATGTAAACATTAACTTAAAAACTCAAGTCATATTCTTAAATAGCCTTGTCAGATTGTGGGGTTGGGTAAACAGAAAAAAAAAAAAGAAAAGATGTGTGTCAATGTGAGTGCTTTGATGATTGGAATTAAATTAAAAGGATCTGTGATGAATCCAACGAATGATGCATGGTATTTTAATGTGGTGGAAAACAATGCTGTTGCAGAATGGAAAAAATGTTCATTTTATAACTTCTTTTTGCTGATGTATTGATAAAACTTGTTTACATGTCTTATGTTGTATTTACATGCCTTATATTATTACAAGAAAAAAACAAATAGATGTTGTCACTCTGAAATCAAATGGGGAAAAGAGCGAACTTTGCAAAAATTGTACAATTTATAATTTTAGTCGAGTTGGGTGGGGTAACCCTAACTCTGCCATGAAAGGGATTAACCTGGTTCTTCAATGCTAAGCAGAGATTAATTATTATTTAATAATAAAACAACTAAGATGTGTAATTTAATCCAAACTAACATATACACTTAACACACAAATTCCATGAATGTACTGGTCATCAGATGTTGCATTAAGTGTGTGTGTGTGTGTGCGTGTATATACATATATCTTAGCTGTTTATCCTCTGATCTTCGTACAGTGTTGGACAGACAAAACAACAAACATGAGGAAATTAGTCTGGACTAGAATGAGGAAAAGGAAAATAAGGAAAAGGAAAAATAATCACAACATTCACACAGATGGGCAAATGCACACATACACTATGTAAAAAAAAAACAACAAACTTGCACCAATGGTAAGTGCATATAAAAAAGAAAAATCAAGAAGTATAAGCAGACAATTGCTGATAGCTCAAAAAGTAGATGGATGAGTCTGGGATGCTGAATGTAACATTAGTCTAAGTGACGAACATTTTAATTGTATTAATTCTATTAAGGCTCTATCTTTAATATTGAGCACTTTACTGCAAAAATTTCTTGCCTTAAATGTTTTTCTCTCAGTATCAAACTGACTGACAGCATTTTTATACACAGGTATATATATATTCATATATATATATATATATATATATATATATATATATATATATATATATATATATATATATGTATATATATATATGTATATATATATATATATATATATATATATATATATATATACACACACACATACACACATAAACACACAGAGAGAGGTGCGATGGGTAAATTTTCACCTTTTTATATTTTTAAATTCATGCATGTGTATTGATCTTGATTTTGTCAACTGCACAGTATAGTAGGGTCAGTTGGGCACCATCTGTGAGAAAAAAAGAGAATCATGACACAATTCACTCAGCCAATTATTTGGAGACAGCATACTGTACTGTTTGGCATTTGCAATGGGAGCTCCAATACTAACATTTCAGAGTGTTTGGATGTCAATCTGAGGACAGTGCAGAGGATTTGGAAAGAGTTGGATGAGTCTAATGGTGATTACAGAGGTACTGCAGCTCAGAAAACTCATTCTGATGAGAAAAGAACTGCAGAATTTGTTGGTGAGGGCCTCAGACTCAACATGAAGACCTACATCAAATGCCTTGAGAAGGTAGTACTGCCCTGGGTAAAGAGGGTGGCTACTGGAAGATCCTATGTCTGGTAACAGGACTCTGCACCATGCCACACAAGCAGGAGAACACAGTCATCGCTGTCAGACAATTTCTGCAATCACATCACCACTTACATCTGGCCACCAAACTGTCCAGATTGCAACCCCCTTGATTATTATGTGTGGGGCACAGTTGAGTGAGAGACCAAAAAACTCCTTGTAACATCAAAGATGAACTGATAGAAAGGATTATCGCAGTATTCACCAACTTAAACAAGGAGACTGCCCAGAAGAGTTGCAGGTGATTCTGAAGTAATCTGGAGGCCATTGTTGAAGCCAATGGTGATTTTACTGAATAAATTTACTCCTTCATATTTCAAGATATTTTGGTGTAATTTTGGTAAATATATCTGATAAAATGAGATGTCAGTGTTATTTTAATTTTAGCATAATTTAGAAGACAATTCATCCATTGCACTCCATATAATAAAAGTGCTGACAATATATATAAGAAGGTAAAGAATAATTTGAACTTTTAAATATTTTAACATTATTTCAAACAGTCCAGTCACATTAAAGAAAAAACAAAAGAAAAAGTTTTACATATTTTTCAATTACTTAAATTGTCTGACGAGGAAGTCTGTAAGCTGAATCAGCTGAATTTTGATCTGGAATTTTCAATGTATAATGTTTTATCTACATTATTAATATTCAACACTAAATTAGGTGCATTACTTAGGAATGAGATTGTTGAAAAAATATGTATAATTGGTGGTGGGTACAAATTTTTTAGGACATTAAAAAGGAATGTTTTAAAAGAATATATATATATATATTTGTGAAAATATATAGAAAATAGGAAAGAACTGGTTAGGTAGATCCAAAGTTCTTTAGTATTTTAGTTATTATTTTAAAAAATAGTGCTCGATACAAATGTAGAGCATAAATATAATTATTTATTTAAAATATGATTCAACTCGCAACATAAGAGGTCTCATGTTTCAAAAAAAAGAGCCGAAAACTTCAATATAATTATTTGAATTAAATTGAGTTAAAGAAAGCTCTGTTCCATCTTCAAGCGAAATTTTTTTTTTTTTTTTTTTTTTGAAGATGGAACAGAGCTTTTTTAACTCAATTTAATTCAAATAATTATATTGAAGTTTTCGCTCTTGTTTTGAAACATGAGACCTCTTATGTCATAGTTGGAATCATATTTGTAAAATAATTATTATATATATATATATATATATATATACCAACTTTCACTCAACACACGGTCCAAGAGCCACTCAAGGTAGAGTGTTACTGAGTGGTGTTGTATGAGTGTAAGGCAGAAGAGAAGCAAGGATAAGGAAAGGAAAAAATCATTACTCAGTGTAAAGTGACCAATCAAAAAATATAACAAAAGAAACAAGAAAAATGCATTAATCAGATATAGCTCCTCACTCTTTAGAGATCAACTGAGGACAAAACATATATGCACAGCAACTTTAAAACAAAGGGGAAAAAAGAAAAGAATACTGCCTGAGAATCAGTAATATAAACCACAGACAGTTTCCATTTATACCGAGCAATCATTCCTTACATACAGAAGGAAAGTTATTCTGAATTTATATTAAGGGTTTCAAGCACTCTCAAATGTTAATCCAAATGTAATCTGCTGATTATTGTGAAAAGAGAAAAAAAAGAAGATGCACATTGGATTATTTATTAGGTGTCCTGCAATCACAGAACTAGAAATTATTAACAGGCATATCTTAATTGGTACATGTTGATCAATATTTGCCTCCAACTTCCAATAATGTGATACTGAATATATTGGCAGAACCTGACATTTAAACTCATAAATCACTGAACTAACACAATGAGGTGGGGGTGCAGAAAATCTTAATGAATGGTTTTTGACATGGGTTAGGA